GCATCAGAGAGTTGGACAATGACCAAATTTCATAATATAACTCATATATAGATATTTCTCTAACTAGACATTTAATTTTACATATAAATATTCTTTATTCAGCCAATACCATCCATATATAAAAAACATGAAAAGTTGAGTTGAGACCTTCCAAGTTACATTCTTAGTCCTTTTTTTAAAAAAAATTTAATGAAAGTTTACATACTTTGGGTTTCCATTCATACATTGTTGCACACTTCCCTCATTACCCAACCCCCTCAGTTTGCTCTTCTCCAAGAAGAGGGGAAAAAATTTTTTTTCATTTTTATACAATCCTTCCCACCCTCAAGTCCACTTTACTATGCAGCTCTTATTCTGGACTCTTGACACAAAAATAATACCTAATCATATATTTCTTTTAAATAGTTCTCTCCCTCATCTGTTTCAATGCAGACCTTATTTATCCCCTCTTAAGTTTCACCCAACCCTGATGTCAGTCCCATTTCACAACAGTGGCACTATGCAGTACTTGTCCTTTTTTGACTGAGATATTTCACTAGCCATAATGTCTCCAGGGTCACCCATTTTGTATAATATTTCATGTTCCTTGTTTTTCAAGGCAGCATAGTATTCCATTGTGTAAATATACCAAAGTTTCTCTATCCATTCATTTGTTGATGGGCACCTGAGTTGTTTCCAACTCTTTGCTATTGTGAACAAAGCAGCAATAAACATGGGTGTGCAAATATCTGCGTGGGTGGCAGTTATGGTTTCTTTAGAGTATATATTCCCAGTAGTGGAATTTCTCGGTCAAATGGTATCTCTATTTGCAACTTTTTGAGAAGGCACCATACTGCCTTCCATAATGTCTGCACCATTTTACACTCTCACTAACAGTCCACAACCTTGCCAGCATTTGTTTACTAGAGTGCTTTTTTAAAAAAAACAAAAAACACCGAAGAACACATTCAGATGGCCAACAAGCACATGAAGAAATGTTCAAAATCCCTAGCTCTAAGAGAGATGCAAATCAAAACAACTATGAGATATCATCTCACCCCAGTGAGAATAGCAAAATTTAACAGAACAGCAAGCAACAAATGCTGGCGAGGTTGTGGAGAAACTGGAACCCTTTTTCACTGTTGGTGGGAGTGTAAAATGGTGCAACCACTGTGGAAGGCGGTATGGCGCTTTCTCAAAAAGTTGCAAATAGAGATACCATTTGACCCAGCAAGTCCACTACTGGGAATATATCCCAAAGAGATCATAACTGACATCCAAACAGATATATGCACACCCATGTTTATCGCAGCTCTGTTCACAATAGCAAGGAGTTGGAAACAACCCAGGTGCCCATCAACAAACGAATGGGTAGAGAAGCTATGGTATATTCACACAATGGAATACTATGCTGCATTGAAAAACAAGGAACTCATTCAATATTATTCAAAATGGGTTAGCCTGGAGGACATTATGCTGAGTGAAATATCTCAGTCGCAAAAGGACAAATATTGCATGGTGCCACTGCTGTAAAATGGGGCTGATATCAGGGTGGGGGTAAGATTGAGTAAAACTCGATAAATTGTGTATACTGCACTGAAACAGATGAGGGACTGAATAATTTAAAAACTATGTATGATAGGGTATTATGGTTATCACAAGAGTCCACAATGAAGGTTGCATAGTGGAATGTACTTGGGGCGGTGGGAGGGGCGCGGGGGGATTGTGTACCAGGGAGGGAGTCTTTCTTTTAGTTTTGAAAGAGAGGAGCGAACTGGGGGGCGGGGGGAGAGGGCTGGGCGGGTAGAGAAGTGCAGCAATGAATGAATGGAAATCCAAATTCTCTGTAAATGTTCATTAAAATTATTTAAAAAATAAAATATTAAAAAAAAAGAACACAAAAACCCAGTAACAAACCCTGCTATCACACAGTAGGCAAAATTAAGATATATCCAAAAATATAAATTGTAATCTATGATTTTTTAGTCACTTCATATACACAAAGAAAGAGCAAAGCTAAAGGGTAAAAAGGGCAAACAAGTAAATTATTTTAATACATACCAAATCTTCCAGATTACAATTAGCTCCATTCCTAATTAATTCTTTCACTATTTCCAGGTTGCCTTGTTCAGCAGCTATCATCAATGGCGTCTGGCCACACTACAGAATACAAGAGGCATGGATAAACTGGTCAAGATGCTGTATTTTCATTAAACACCACAGCTAAACATATCACACCTACATTCCCATGAAGGAATGGTAAATATAGTTGTGTTTACAATACTGCCTTAATTTAGAAACAGTTTTTAAATTTTAACTTTTCATACTTATAATTTCAAAGCCAAAGGGAAAATGTAACCCTTTTTCTTACCACAGAATTAATGGTAGCACAGCAATTTTCATTCAAAATCAGTCAACACATCTAACATGATCTGAGAAGTAATCAGGGCAATGCAATTAAAAATCTAAGGATATCTATGAGGAACACATTTTGTAACAACTCAGGCCAAATATGATATAGAATGTGGGTTTTTTCACTGTACATATGATTTCTGTCTAAGAACTAAAGAAGATCAAACTCACTGCCAATAACAATTCCAATTCATAACAACCCTACAGAGCAGAGCAGAAATGCCATCATGGAGTTTCCAAGACTAAATCTTTACAGAAGGAAACTGCCACAAATTTCTCTCATGGGTTCAAACTCTTTTATTAACAGCCAAGTACTTTAACCATTTGCTAACAGTTTTCCTTAAGACACAATGCTGTTGTTGTTATGTACCATCAGGTTGATTCCAACTCACAGCATCCCTAAGTACAACAGCTCTGAAGCCTGCTCTATCCTGAGCCAATCTTATTGTCTCTGACACACCTGCTCCTATTACCCCAGTCACTGAGTCAATCTATCTCTTTTAGGGTGTTCATATAAGAGAAAGAAAAGTAAAATAACCCAAATGCTACATGTAATGCACTCACTTGCAGACACAGAGTCAGAAAAGACTTATCGTTGACCTTCCAGCAAGTTTTCAGAGGCTGTAAATTGCACCAGAGGAAACTGCCTTTCTCCTGAAGTGTGTGTGGTGGACTTGAAGCCCATACCTTTGGGTTGTCAGCACAACTCCTTACCCAACAGGTCACTAGAGCTCCTGAGAATACATCTAAAGTCTTTTAAAGGAGCTCTAGTGGCTTGGTCTTAGGAAGTTGCAAAGCTATTGGCCCAATATATAAATTCAAGTCAATACATTCTACATCTTTAGCTTTCAAATCTGTAATTCCAAAGACTTAATGGGCTTTTCTGTTAATCTTCTAAGGTTCCACTTTGTTACTTTCACATAGTTCACAAAGTCAGAAACAGGACCACCAAACAGGTATTTTTAGAGTATGAATGAAAAATAAGATATATGTGGTATTACCACCAGAATACAGATAAGAAAGATGCTATAAACTTGATTAGCTAGATACCAGCTAAAACAACACTTGAATAACTATACATTCTCTCTCGCATATATTGGCAGCTGTCTACCCAATATCCATACGAACTTGTTTTTGCTGAAGGTAGAAGAGTACACCCACCTTTAAAAAAAAAATCCTCTCTTTCAGCCTCACATGCAGCTAGATAAAGTTATGTGACACCACTCTGGCCTAAGCGGAAGTCACTGGCTAGGTCTCCAAGCCTGTCCTCTAAGGGAACCAACTCATTTGAGCTACGGGATTTTTCCCCTTCTGACTAATCTGTAAGCACAACAGTGGAAATGTACCCTAATGGCTCACGTGAGGTATTAAGCATGCAGTGAGGAATGGCCAGGAAGGATGAGGCTGGGTCTTTCATGATGTTATGACACCACCATTAAATGTTAAATAAAAATTAATGGCTGCAAGTGCCAAGTGCAAACGTTTCCAAGAAAGATAAATCATAGCAGCCACTTATACCAGGTCCAAAACTTTGACAGGAAAAAAAAAAAAAAAAAAACTTTGACAGAACATTAGGGAATATTTGTCCAACCTGTTCTCAAGCAGGAACACTGCTGAAAAAGAGACAAACGAAAGACGTTTCGGACTCATTAATTCCCAAAAGATAAATATATTTATAAAGACCATGACAGAATTACCACTGCTTAATTGAAGACTATTTCAATTAAGAACATACCTAAAGCACAATTGTTATAACTTCCCTACTAGAATCCTCTGGGTTTTTTTGGTTGTTTTGTGTTTTTCTTAATTTTATCATTTTTTCTGTGTGCATGTACTGTCAAATCAGATCTGCCTGGTACAGGAGGAGATTGTCCCTCCTTCCCCGGCAGAGCATCTGGTGAATTCGAACCCTGCGCCTCTGGGATTGTAGTTGCAGCTCCTTGCCACTAGGCCACCAGAGCTCCCCTCAGAATCCTCTGTTTTTAAAAACCCTGTATTTATACTGCTTGAGTAAGTCCCTTGCTGCTTTAAGATTTAATGTTCCCTATCCATGAAGAAACAGACTTAGTAGTGCAGTAATCAAAAATTATGAATCTTTAGCTTTCAAAATTGTAATTCCAAAGACTGAAATAGACTAAAAGACCAAAAGTTCAATGCTTAGAACTTACCAGCTGATCCACAGGAAAGAGAGGAAAAAACTCTGCTTCCACAAAGGTCTATACCCTGGGAAACACTATGTATGGGCAGTTCTACTCTGTCCTGTAGGGCAACTAGGAGTCAGAACTGGCTTGATGGCAATGGGTTTGAGAGAGAGTTGGACAATGACCAAGGAGGATAGAAGAATTGATGCCTTTGAGCTGTGGTACTGGAGAAGAGTACTGAGAATACCATGGACTGCTAGGAAAACAAACAGATTTGTCCTGGAAAGGGTTAAACCAGGTGGCTCCTTAGAGGCAAGGATTCTGAGGCTCCGTCTAACATACTTTGGACATGTTATGAGGAGAGACAGGTCCTTGGAGAGGGATATCATGCTTGGGGGGGGTGGAGGGACAGCGCAGGAGAGGAAGGCCCTCTATGAGGTGGACTGATTCAGTGACTGGGGTAATCGGGATGGGAGTGTCAGAGACAGTGCGATTGGCACAGGACAGGGCAGAGTTTAGGGCTGTTGTACATAGGGTCACTATGAGTCGCAAACGACTCGACAGCACATAACAACAACGTCTTACTACATCTATTTCACATATTAGCCTAATTTTTCAACTTTGGAATGCCTCCTCTAGCTTCTTATGTGAGAAAAATAAAATCCTTAATTCGACTAAGACACCACTTCAGAAGGTATTACATGCAGTAAAAAATAGTACTTCATTGATAATGCTGTTTGCAGCTACAAGATAAAAAGAGGACAAATGATTTCAGGAAAAGTGATCGTGAAAGTGACAGAAAAATCAAAGTGTAGTTAATTTAAGCTTTACAAGAAAATTATTTTTTATCCATTTTAATAGGGAGCTCTAGTGGCAATCTCTTCCCATGTGATTAACAGCCTCTGAAAACCTGCTGGAGGATCAACTATGAGTCAGTTCTGACATGATGACACATAATAATAACAACAACAACAACGTGGCCTAGAGGTTAAAGCGTTACACTGCCAACCCAAAGACAAGCAGTTTGAATTCACCTAACTGCTCCAAGGGAGAAAGATGGGCAATCTCCTCCCACGATCTGCAGCCTCTGACACCCCCTGGAAGGTCAGCGAGGAGTCAGTTCCAACTCAGTGGCACATGATGACAACAACCATTCTAATAGTTGCTGCTCAACCATTTAGTAATGATAGTTGTAAATACAATGATAACCAAGACACAGTAACTACTCATAAAACCAAAAAACAGAGGAAAATTCAAATGCTGTCTATAAAAGTTAAACTTTATCAGAAATTACAAACTCAAAATGCTACAAATAAGGCCTTAAGAAAGTTACTTTATCCTCAACCTTAGTTTCACATTATTGTAAAACCGAAACTTACAATGGATTCAATATAAAACTAGATACAACAGTAATTATTATCCATACAGTACCATGATGCAAGATGCCAAGAAAACCCTTTGCCAAATGTGTTTGATTCTTAGTAGCAATATAATTCATTTTATCCTTATTGATGTGATGCATTTCTCCCTCTAAGTGAACCTATTTTTTCAATATTCTCTAAGGAAAAGCTGATGAAGAAAAGCAGTATTTTTGTGTTTACTTAATTTTTAAAAAATATTACTATTTTAGTATTACAAGTATGCTAATATTCAGAACTCAAACTCAATGCTGCTGGGTTGAAATGGACTCATAGCTGACCCTCCAGAAGATTTCAGAGGCTGTCAATTGCACAGGAGATGCCCATCTTTCTCTGGTGAGTTCAAACTGCTAGAGGCACAGCCTTTGAGTTAGCAGCAACTCCCTACTTTAAACTCCCCCATCAAAGCTCCTGAGAGAGGGTGATACTGATAAAATTACTATCGTAATTCTTCCAGAAAATGTCTCCAAATATAAATTTAACCCCTAAAGTGCAAGCTGGCTTTAGAAGGGGTCGTGTTACTAGGGATATTATAGCTAATGTTAGATGGACCTTGCCTGAGAGCAGAGAACACCAGAGGAATGTCTATCTGTGTTTCAGTGATTATACAAAGACATTTGACTGTGTGGATAACAACAAACTGTAGCTGGCTCTGAGAAGAATGGGAATCCCAGAACACTTGATCGTGCTAATGTGAAACCTATACTTGGACCAGGAGGCAGTCGTCAGAACAGAGTAAGGAAGCACTGCATCGTTCAAGATTGGGAAGGGTGTACGCCAGGGATGTGTCCTATCTCCATACCTTTTCAACATGTATGCAGAACAGATTATCTGGGAGGCTGGGCTTTATGAGGAGAAATGTGGGGTCAGGATTGGTGGAAGATTCATCAACAATCTGCGTTATGCAGATGATACAACCCATCTTGCTGAAACTGAGGAGGATATGAAGTTCTTGCTGCATAAGGTCAAGGACTGCAGCCTTCACTATGGATTGAAGCTCAATATCAAGAAAACAAAAATTCTCACCACTAGGCTGACAGGCAGCATCATGATAGATGGTGAAGAGACTGAGATTGTTAACAGTTTTAGTCTGCTTGGCACAAGTAGCCAGGAAATTAAAAGACATATTACAATGGGAAGGTCTGCTGTTAGAGACCTCGCCAAAGTACTGAAGAGCAACGATGTCAGT